CGGTCTGCAAGAATTAGTTCAGCTTTTGACCATCAGCCTCAAAAAGACCAACATGTTCCATTTAAGACATTGCCTCCTTGTTTATTAACCAATACGGCATGCACCTCAAGGTGGTGGACAATTTTTCACCTACCTTGAGTTGATCATCTCCAAAAATCCCCTGTCTCTGGACAAATTCGAGATTAGCTCCAGGAAAGGAAAGCGTTAAAACAGTCATTAATAAGCTAAACAAGCATGTCTGGAACAACAGCTAGTTGACGGAGAACATATAAAATAAAAATCTACTGGGCATGTGTCCTAAGCACCCCTTCTGCATGGCAGCAAGTCCTGGACAATTTTATAAGTCAGTAGAAGAGGTTAAACACCTTTCATATTCCACTGACTCAGACATCTCCTGCACATTTTATGGCAATATATTTATATATTTAACACAGAAAAAGGTCCTTCAACATTGGCATCCCCAGCCTGTTCACGTCTTGATATGAAAAAGACGTCTCAGATGGCTGGGGCATGTATATTAATTTTGAAAATATGTGCCGGCTGCAGATAAGAATCATCCTGTATGGAGATGTGAAATTTATCAATTACAAAGGCCTTTTTTGCTTCAAGGATGTCTGCAAATGAGACATGAAGTATAAATACAAAACATCAACCCCCAACACACGGGAGGCTGTGGCTGATGATTGTCAGCTTTGGAGAGCCACAGTCAGTGATGGTGTCACGACTGCAGAAGCTGCGAGGGAAGATCAGCAGGCAGCAAAGAGAGCCAGGAGAAAAGTAAGGACAGCCTCTATCTCCATGTCATCCAGTTTCATCTGCGCTCAGGTGCCTGAGAGAAACTTTTTAGTGGGAAAACTGTCACCAGAGGCTTATGTAACTCCATCATCTAGAAATAAAAAAAAAAGAATATCATTTGTTACTCCATTGTCTCCAAGAGACAGATGGATTTGCACATTAATTTATAAAAATCTATTTTTAAAGTCTTTTTTAATCAGGGTTAATTTTTTAGAAGATGCATGGGTTTATGGATACATGTAGACACCAATTTGGACCTTGTGTTCAGTAATTATCTTATTTTGTTTATTCAGATTTAGTATTTCTATTTATTGCCGTCCAGTTAGTATTATTAATATCTTATAGAGATATTCCTTTAAGAAGCTTCCTGAATATTAAATTTTTTCTGTTGAAATTAACTTTATATCTGACTAGCAGTAGAGCCCGGCATTGCCCGGGGATGTAACAATAAGAGATAGATCAAATATCGACCATCATAAAGACTGAAAAATAAAATTGACAAAGATTATTGTTTAAGGTTGACAGACACGCATGTCTTTTTTTTGTTGTTTTTTGGGGGTTTTTTTTACAAATTGGTCAAACCCAAACCCAAACAAAAATATTGTTTTCAATCGTTATGAGTCTACCGATTGAATAGAATTTTTCAATTTTATTATAAACAATTGTCTTGTAAATGGAATTTTTAAAGCATTCTGAATGTAAAAATAAAGAAAAAAGTGTGCAAGACAATAAGAAACACTACCTGCCAAAAAAAAAAAAATGAAGTTTTGCTGAAATCAGTTGAAAAATGTAGGAAATCCGATCCCATATATAAATGAACACACACACACATACACACAAACAAACAACCTGGGTTTTATAATAAGTATAATTCGATATGAGTTGTCCCCCTTTCATTCTATATGATTTTAATTTTTAATAGTGTTTTCAAATTGATTTCAAAAAAAAAAACAATTGTGTTTTTCCAAATTTTGGCACTGTCAGAACCACCACAAGGTAATTTTACATAGTCCTGTGAAGTTTTGTTGAAATTGGTTGAAAAATGTAGGAAATCCGATCCAATATATAAACAAACAGACACACTCAACCTCGGTTTTATAATAAGTATGATTATCCTTCTACCCCTACCCTCAGCATCCTTATAAAAAATTGAACATGTCATATTTGTCTACAATCATGATACATTTGTTACATGCTTTCCACAATTGTCAATGATGACCTCTCTACATTCTGGTTTATCATGTTATGAAAATATAACTTCCTCATCTCCACCCTCTGAGCCTAATTTTCTATTTTGCATAGATCTGACACTTAATTGGTTGAACAAGACAAACCCACAAGTCTATTTTTAATTCTGACCTTGTGTTTTCTCATCCCATGCTTTATCTTATGAAAAAGAGTTAACACTTTGCTTTTTTTGGTTTCCCTAACTACCTCATCAACCACCAGATTAAACTATTTCTTTATAAAGTAACTAATAGCAATACTGAACATAAAGATGAAAATAATAACATTACCATCTTTTATAAAAGCCAAATACATGTAGGATGAATTTTCCTTTAAAAACATAAAGAAATACACAACCCCAATCAACAAGAACAAGAAAATTAAATTGATTATCTACTATAAAAATTTTAAAACAGCTAACCTTATTGCCAACAATAACTCACCTGCAAGATCTAAAGAGAAGCTACATTATGGCAGTGGGAAAGTGACTGAAGGCAAGATGCCAGGTCAGGACCAATAATATTGCATATTCTTTGGTTTTTATCAAATATTTCTAAATGTACAGTGAGAGAACTGGACCAGATGCGACATCTGTATTCTAAGCATGGATGAATAGTAGACTTATAAATATGCAAGATAGATTCTGGAGATAAAATTTGTCTAGCACAGCACAATGCCTATCATGAAGACTCATGTTACACCTCTGTGAATATAGTATATCTGGAAATAATTTTTAATACTCAAAATACGTTATTACTCACCATAATTTCTGATCTCCACCATTTTCTGTTCAGTTGCTCATAGCCTGCCCAACAGTTGAAATTGCCCACTGGTGGGTGATATTGCCTAGGTTGGGAAACCCTGGTTAAAGAGTGAATACCTCTCTTTGTCTGTTCAAAGAAAAGCAAAGCAGACTCAAAATAACAATATTTATACCATGATTAGACCCACCTTTGCCTACCCAGTTCTTGCTATACTTCTAAAAACATTCACTTACTTAATTATTTCCTTAAATAACTCAATAATGTAAAACAGATGATAGTTAACACTGGTTTCCCTAACTACCTCATCAACCACCAGATTAAACTATTTCTTTATAAAGTAACTAACAGCAATACTGAACATACAGATGAAAACAATAACACTAACATCTTCTATAAAAACCAAATACATGTTAACTGTAAGCAGGATGAATTTTCTCTTAGAAACATAAAGAAATACATAACCCCAGTTGACAAGAACAAGAAAATTAGATTAATTATCTACTATAAAAAATTTAAAACAGCTAACCTCACAATAACTCATCTACAAGATCAAAAGGAAAGCTACATTATGGCAGTAGGAAAGTGGCTGAAGCCAAAACACCAGATCAGGACCAATAATATTGCAGATTCTTCTTTGGTTTTTATCAAATACTTCTAAATGTACAGTGAGAGCACTGGACTAGATGTGAGAGCCATATTCTAAGCATGGATGAATGATAGACTTCTAAATATGCAAGAAAAAAATTGTCTAGCACAATACAATGACCCAATGTTCTTAACAGCAGATCTTGCAATGGATTCAAAATAGTCTTTCCACTTCATCCCAGCTGAGAATGTTAGACTGAGAAGACCCAATGAGAGGCTAGTGTCAACGATGCTGATGGGAAGCAGGAAGGAGTCTATCAGGTGATTAACAGAGAGAAGTTTTGTTTTAGAGGCATTAAAATTAAGAAAACACTCCTTGTCCCAGTTAACAACAAACTGTAATTATTATTATTATTATTTTTGCTATTATTATTATGATGATCATCTTCTTCTTTCTAATTTTATTATTATTGTTAATCTTCATGAGTTGCTTTCCTGGGTTAAACTTCAACTTAGGAAGTCGATGGCCTCACCCGGAAACAATCCCTATATAAAATGGCCACTCAAACTTTCTAGGTAAAACTGTACTCTTCCTAGAGTAACTAAGGGGAGCAACTCATGGAGATTAGCTATTCATTTTATATAGGGCACACATGTGGAGAACAAAGTAGTCCAAATAAAGCATTTTCTTCCCCCCAACACCAAAAAAAATTTTCCCTTCAAGGTGAGGCTGTCCCTTTCCCAGGTTGAAGAGTCACCAAGGGGAACAACTCATGAAGATTAACAATTATTATCCTGGAGTTGTATAGATACTGGAATGTCATATTATCAGTCTTGTTAATAATACTGTTTCTTCAGAGAACAGAAATATTGGTGTTAAACTCTATACTCTTTTACCCTATCTGATAATACGGCAAAAATCAGTCAAATTATTCTAGAATCTGCATAGAGGCCAAAATGACATGTTGTTCAAAATAAGCTGTTTTATTATTTTCTCATTACTTGTCTAATGACTATTTTATTTGTGTCTAATAGTAAAAGTAGATTTGAGACAAAAATATCTCTTTAACATAATCCTTAGTTTCTGAAATTCAGGTTCAAATGCTTTGAGTTTGGCTCAAGTTATACTTTTGATTGACACATCTATTAAGCTTTGATGGTTTTTTCATGGTCAAGTAATTATCGAATCAACTTAACAATAGATCAATCAGCTGATAACTTTGGTAATTTGAGGGGTTCTATTCCAACTAATACCAAGATATACATTTTCAAATTCTAGAAAAGATTAGACAAAATTGTTTGTCATTTTTACATTCAGAAATGGTAACTTTTATATCTGGTAAGCTTACAGCACATCACATTGAAATATTGGTTCCTGTATGATCATAAAAGTTAAGTAATGTTGAGCTTGGTCAGTACATAGATGGGTAACCACTTGTGAATACCAGATGCCCTATACATGGATCTGCTGGCGGCATAATGGGCTTATAGCCACATCACATTGAAACACTAATTTCTATGTGATGGCCGAAGTTAAGCAACATCGAATCTGGTCACTACATAGATGGGGGAGAACTTGGTAATACCAGTTGTTGTAATCTTAGATGTGTAAGGGGTATAAAGGCCTTACTGCCATATCACGTTGATACACTGGTTTTCATACGATCACCAAAGTTAAGCAACATTGAGCCTGGTCAGTACATAGATGGGTGACCACTTGGAAATACCAGGTGCTAAAAGCTTGGATTTGCAACTGGCGTAGTGGATAATGGCTTGGAATTGCTAATGAGAAGATCCAAGTTCCAATTCCAGGTGGGTTCATTATATTTTTACTTACATGCAAATACTCTTGAGAAAAAAATGAATCCACCTCTTCTCCCTCCAGATATGGGTTAATTAGAAGACTTGTATCACTAAAACTATTATCATCACAAAAAATATAATTGCATACAAAATATTTAGATTTTTGCATTAAATAACCCATAGAGGTGTTGATATGCCACTAAACAAAACAATCAAGTTTTTTTCTGGTAGTCATTCTTATGCTGTCCTTTTGGATTGGATTTTTGGGTGGTGTATATCATCATCATCATCATCATCATCATCATCATCATCATCATCGTTGTTGATGTTATTAATGTCACTGTGACCTTGAAATGAAAGACACAAGTTAATCCCTCATACTCTATTTACATATATATATATATATATATTTGGTTGGATAGATGTGAGTTTGTGACCCTGGGTTTCACGTTTGTCTGACGATCGCTAAAGCGTGAAACCCAGGGTCACAAACTCACATCTATCCAACCAAATATGTTAGCTCTATCTCTGATATTGAGCGCTTAATAAGTACTGTGCATATAATATATAAATAATTATATATATATATATTTATTTGTATTTATATACACACTTTTCACATATATATATATATATATATATATATATATATATATATATATACATTTAAAAGTGCAAACAAGATTCTCCTTTTGCTAGATGTTTGGCAATCTGCAGTTTTCAAAAGTCAGCTTAGACCAAAATACTCCTCTCCTTAGTACATCATCATCATCATCATCATCATCGTCGTTGTCGATGTTATTGATATCGCTGTCATCACCATTCATGACTGACTAGGCAGAAGACTTTCTCACAATAGGTTGCTATTTCTTTCTGCGGTAGACAGGTTGCTAACCAAGGCTATAAGATCCAGTCTGTCCTTCTATTTAACCCATAGCTGGGGGAAGAGATGGATACATACCTTTCCTAAAGGTAATTGTACAGATGTGTACGTAATGGACCTGAATGGAATTCAGACTCAAACTCCTCTGTTTATAGTTGGTAAAAAAAATTATAAAAATGAAAGTTACTGCAACCACATTTTTTGCTACAAAATAATAATTCTAAAAAGGTAGTGCTTGCATTAATTAATTAATTAGGCAAGGAGTATAATTCCATTTAATTGTACGTATATTAATTTGTGTATTTATGAAATAGTCTGGGATCGAACCTGTTCAACTGGTGCTACTTATCAAAGACAGAGTCATGAACAAATTTTGTTAACTTGTTATTTTATGACTTACATAGATAATTGTATGCTCCTAACAATTTTGTTTGTAAGCATAAAACAATATTGCATTTAGGGAGAATCTGTCTCCAGTTTGTAGTCATGTCTTTGATATCAGACTGACCGTATCATTAATAGTGACTATGCTCCACACTGAAATGGATTCTGTTTGTGTCTCTTCCTCTGCCCTTGATTCATTTTCTGGATTTATTTATTAGGCTCTACATTATTCATGTGCTTTGGTTTAAGAATGCTGCTTAGGAAAACAGGAACACTGGCACCAAACTCCATAAATCTTCTGTTGGACATTCTGGTAATATGACAGAAAATAAGAGAGTCTCATTCATTGCCTTGCAGTGCATCCTTCCCTCCACCCTCGGACTACAAGTGCCACCTAGAGATTTGATTAACTGCCTAAAAGAAATAATTACTGATAAGATATGACAATGCTGACGTGTGTAGGAATCTGTGCACCACCACCAACAACAGCAACAACAACAACAACAATAATAATAATATGAGAAAGACAAAGAAGACAAAATAAAAATTATAAACATAATAGCCCCATTCTATCAGAAATGCTATCATTCATTCCTGACCACTGGTAATCCCTTTCTTCCTCATTTTCAATAAACTTAATAGTACTGTTCATTAATTCCTGACCACTGATAATCCCTGTTAAAGATTTTCAATATATAACTTATAGTCTGAGTGCTGAAATTTGAATTGCAAAATTCTGTTTAGCTTACAATTTTTTTCTTGATAGTTGAAACTATTTAGTTTCTTCAGAGTCGGTCTATATTTCTGAGATGAGGTATTATGTACATTATTTACATTATTTGGACTATTGTCCTCATCTTTTTCGCCATATCTATCACAACGTTTTGGCCGTTGTATGCTCCGGCCTTCTTCAGGTGGTTGGAATGTCGAACTGAACCCTTTTTTTCGCTCACTGGAGTAGACTGTTCTAGTTCCACGTGCCATGTTTGATGGATGTCAGCTATCAGTTATCTCCTGTTAATTTTCCCTCTGCCTTAACCAGGTATTGAACTCACACTCTTTGGGTCTTGTCTAACCAACGCCTTTATCCACTGTGCCATGTGTCCTTGAGGACATTTAGTTTCTTATTACTGATAATGACAAAAGCAAAACTGTGGATTTGTGGAGTAATGATAAAGTCAGTGGGCAGCAGTCAGGAAAATTGAAACTTTACATGAACCAGGTCCAAAAATAGTTAGGATTAAATGCAACATTGATTATGGTTTCATTTGTTTCTTTCTCACCAAAGATGTTTTAATTGAATTTTAAAATTATCTACATTTTTTTTAGAAATATCTAATTTGAAAATATATTGTAAAATATATTGTACAAAAAATATTTAAGTATTATATTTAAATATTTAAGTATTATTTATTAAAGTATTATTTATATTTAAGTAACTAAACTTGATCTCAAAACTTTCAAAAATAAAATTTAGAATTCAATTTCATTCCGTTTCATTCAGTCAGTTATGTGCCATGCATGATACATGCTTAGGCAATCATGTATCTTTTGATACGTGACTGACGAGGCAGATTTTTTCCTGCAGTAGTTTGCCATTTCTTTCTGTGGTAGACCAATTGCCATCCAAGGCTATGGACCTGGTCTGTCGGGCTATTTACCCATAGCTGGGGAGAGAAGAAAAGGACTCATACCTTTCCCAAGGGTATTAGCACGTAAGTGAATGTAATGGATTCAACTGGAATTCAAATTCAACTTTCTGATTCCTCAATCTGAGCCACTATCCACTTCTCCACTGTGTCTCCTCTTCCACCATGGGAAGGTTACTGAATAGAATAATCAAACAAAGGTTGGTAATGAACAATACTTAGGACAAGAACAACACATATAAGATTTGCCAGCAGTGTGTAAAAATAGTCAACTACTAGAAGTGAGTCAAGTGAATTTAATGTGAGGTATCCGAGCCTGTAGGCTCAGCCAAAAATTCCCCATAGACCCCATATAAAACAGGGTCAGGTAGCTGTTTCCCAAGATGAGACTCTGTCCTTCAACATGGCCTCGTTTGGGGATTCTCTCTGTCCAGAGTCAGAGATTTTGACCAACACAGCTGGAGATGAATCTTCAACTGCAGGATATCTACCAAACTGCCCCATGTGGTCAGATGTGGCACAAGACTGAATTTAATGTGAGGTATCTGAGCCTGTAGGCTCAGCCAAAAATTCCCCGTAGACCCCCGTATAAAACAGGGTCAGGTAGTTGTTTCCCAAGATGAGACTCTGTCCTTCAACATGGCCTTGTCTGGGGATTCTCTCTGTCCAGAGGCAGAGATTTTGACCAACACAGCTGGAGATGAATCTTCAACTGCAGGATACCTACCAAACTGCCCCATGTGGTCAGATGTGGCACAAAGCCTAATTTAATGTGGGTCATTGGAGCTTGTATGCTCGGCCAAAAATTCCCCGTAGACTCCGTATAAAATGGGGCCGAGTAGCTGTTTCCCGAGACAAGACTCTGCCCTTCAACATAACATATCCTCTGGGGATCCCTGTAAGTGGCATGGTAGGTCTTAGCCATGATGGTTAGAACTTGTTGAACTAAGAAATGTTGTTCATCAAAACACTTTCCATGGAAATAGCGATAGAGTAGCAAGAAGCTTGTGACATTTCATCTTATAAGAAAAATAAACTCTTAACATGAACCACCATTGCTAAATCAAAAATATTAAATTTAAAATTTGATCAGTAAAAATTATAATCTGATGGCAATGACTACAAGTAAAGAAATTAAGCAGACAGTATGAGACTTTAAGGCTTATAGCCATATAATGTTGAAACAGCAGTTCTTGTCTGATCACCAATGTTAAGCAACATCAAGTCTGTTTAGTACCTAAGTGGGGAACTGCTTGGGAATATTAAGTTCTGTAAGCTTGTGGGTGATGTAATGGATAATGGCTGGCAATTGTAGAGCCAAGATCCAATTCCAATCAGGTTCATTATACTCACTTAGGTAATTATTATCTCCAAAAATCTGTCAAAATTTAAAAATGTTTTCTGACTTTAAATAAACTGCAAAAGGTTGATAAGCCATAAAAAACAAAAACAGAAAAACAAGACTTTAAATTCAATAATAATCCAGAGCCTTTACAGTGAGGTAATCTTGAAAGAATTAGAAGTCCTACCAGGATTTAATTATTGACAGCCACAATGACAGTTCAGGACTAATAACATTCTTCTTTGTATTTTATCAAGAATCTCTAAATCCATAGCAGAAGCCTCAGACCAATTGCAGCAGCAATATTCAAAGCATGAATGAATAGTAAATTTATAAATATCTAAGATACATTTTGTCAGGAAAAACAGATTGAATAATGATTTCTTTATTACATATCTAAATAATATATTCTCTTTTATCCTTTAAATCAGGAGTCAGCAACTCATTCGACCCCACGGGCCGGATCGTGTTATAATGATGGGTCGCAGGCCAGACGAAGGCCATTAATGAAAAATTAAGAAAAATTACATATGCAGACCGCTGTCAACCTAAATATTTAAAACCATAACGAAAATAAACATTGAGAAATCAGAAAAACAAAAGAAAATCTAAAATTAAAAAAACACCTAACAAAAATTACTTTTCCTCAAAGAACGTCAAAATACTTCAAAGTG